TGTCATTTGTAGACTTTTCAATGATGGCCGTTCTGGCTGGTGTGAGGTAATCCTACCCCTTTCTTAAGACCCTTCCTACCTTCCTTCCTTCGCTGTCACACTCACTCACTGACTCCTCATCCATTCTTTCTCACTCACTCCTTTACTCAGTAAACATGTACTGAGCCAACAGTGGGGCAGGTCCCTCTGCTGTCTCCTCTCCCTGGGGCGTCCAGGAAATCTAGGGTTGACGTAGGGCATTGAGGTAAGAGGCGCTCCCCGACTGGTCGAAGACTGGAAACAGCCTCTAGCCTGAGGTGCCCCGAGGGACATTCTTCATCACGAACACTTCTTGGTGCTCACCCGAGGAAGTATGCAGTCCAGGCCTCAGCTACTCCATCTGTAGAATGGGTCCTTGGAGGACTTGGGACCTGAGCAACTGCAAGGAATCTGCCTGTGGTGCCTGGGACGCCCTTGTCCTCTGCTTAAAAAGCCAGGTAGAGAATGGAAATTGAGCCCCAGAGCCCTGCTCTGGGGAATAAGTGATCTTTTACCCATTATTCTTTTTAGAGTGGGTCTCAGAGAGGTTTAGAAAATTTGGATCTCAGCAACAAGGTTGGAGCCTGCCAGTCAACTGGAAGATGAGATTGGGTACCATTGTACTGAGCACCTACTAAGTGCTAGGCGCTCCAGAGGCGTTGCCTCCAGTATGACAATGGGCAAAGTAGGGGCGGTTTTCCCATTTTATAGATGAGAAAATTGAGGCTCAGGAAAGCTCTCCGACGTCCAGAGTTAGGAAGTGACAGCCAGGACTCAGCTTCCAAGGCCTGAGCTCTTCCTGCCGCCCCAGCCAAGAAGGGCCCTGTGGGCTCCCAGCGCCCTGCCCCCCGCCTTCGCCATGTGCGGTGAGGAGGGTCGTGCCTCCCGGCCTCTGCACACCGCGGAGGCCTGGTTCTCCCAGCTCTTCTGCGTGCAGAGCAGCAGGCACGAGAACTCAGTGTCGTGGGCGTGATTTGCTGCATTTTCTTCTTTATTCGTTTGCATTCACCTTGGGCCCCATCCTCCCAGGACGGGGAGGTGCCCAGTCTCCATCCCCCGTCCACCCTTCCGCCAGCCCTTTTATTGTGTGTTCTTAAGATCGCTTCAGCCTCGTAACATCTGTGGTTGGTCATTTCCCCTCAACTCACATCAGCCAAGGAGGCACAAACTCGGTGAAGCCGGTTTTTTGGCCACCACCAACGTAGGGCCGGAGTCCAAAGACAGACAGACCATCTGGGGCAGCCTCAGACGTAGGAACTGTGACCTTCTCAGAGTGAGGAAGGGCCATGACTGACCACCTTCTCGGACGAGTCCAGATGTGGGAGCCTCCTCGTGATGGGGGTGACTGTGGCCCCCATGGGTCGGAATCCAGGGAGTGCCACAGCCTGGGAGCACCACCGGACCCTCTCCTCACAGCTCCTGCCTCACCTCACACTGGTCCCCTCCTGTGGATGTGAGCAGGTTGGTGAGGCACAGGCAGGCCAAAGGCAAAATAATGAAAGCAGGGGCCGTGGCAGCAGCAGGCGGGCTGCAATTTCTCTCAGCTTTTGAGGACCACTTCCTTCCCTGGAATGTGCCAGAATCCCATCTCCTTAGTTGATGGGTGACCAGCACCTTCAATAGATGTAGGCTAATGGGAGACGTGCTGCTGTGTTGAGTAACATTAGCAGATTTGCACGGGAGCTCCCTGCCGCGCTTCCTAAGCCTCAGGCAGAAGGTAACTCACTCTGATGGGGTCAGCTGCCCAGAAGCTTCCATGCTCCCAGGGCCTCGGTTTCCCCACAGCTCTGTGATGTCTTGTGTGCCTCAGTGTCTGTGTTGTCTCCCGCTCCGGGCCAGCCCAGTGAAAGGAGGCTTCAGTCTGGGTGCCAGGTGCGTGTGACTCATAGACCCCCTCAGGTCCCAGCGTGTGTAGATGAATATAGATATGTGTGTATGTGTGGTTATTTTTTTTATTTTTTTTAATTATTTGCTCCATTGCACTTAAGTCACATTTTCCTATCCTCTGATCCAAGCTCTAAAAGCATTTTGCGGTATAAAATCTCTCCTCATCTGATCCAGTCTACCAAAATAACCCAGCTCCCCTGCCGTCATCTTCCATGAAAAGTGGTCCTGCGTCATGGTCTGAAGCTGGCCAGGAGGGGCCTTGCCTGCTGAAGACGCTTCATAGTAATCCCCCCAGCGTCCCCCATCCTTCTGTCTCCCTGGGGGGCTGCTCGGGTTTCTGGGGCTGTTATTACTGGAATGTCAGCTGCTCTACTTACAAGCCATCCATACAGACCTGCTCTGTCTGTCTTGGGCCGCACAGGCCTCCGCTTAGCTCATCTCGTGGAAATATCATTTTAAAAATAAACGCCAATTCAGTTCGCACTTCCCTTTTGCCTCCACTGTGTCTCCTGGCCTCCTCCACTTGGCACCAGGGGGTCCATTAAGGCGCTGCTGTCTCCCAGAGTCCTCCAGTGGTCCAGAATCGGTGGCTGGGTGGCCACCCAGTGGGGCCTCCAGGGTGACCTCAGGGGCCCTCTGGGGCTGCCCGAGTTGGCTTCTTTTGAGTCCTGTGGTCATTTAAGTGGCTCAGGGGAAACAGTGAGAGCTCTGAACGCATACAAACTTGACTCTGCCACACACTTGCTGTGTGACCTTGGACAAGTTATTTCCCTCTCTGGGCCCCACGGGTACATGAGCAATGAGGTACCTCCCTCCTAGGCATATGTGATAGGTGGTATTGGTTTTTATGACCGACATAAAGTATGTCTTTAGGGGAAAAATACATTTGAAATTTCTCTGCAAACCTGTTACGAACTTCTATCTTCCATTATCCGCGCTTTGATTCTTCCATGGCACCAAAAAGCAACTCAAAGGTAGGCCAGAAAATTTTGAGTAAAACATAACATCATCTTGCTGCATCACAGGGGGAGTCCTGACAATTTCAAAGGAAAGTCAGTCATTCGGCACGGTGGCATGTTTCACGCCTGGGACGCAGCAGAGTGTCACGTGGAGGATGCAGACTTCAAAGTTTGGAACTCGATTCAGCCACTAATGACTGTGGCATCGGACGAGTGATTGAGTGTTCCAGTGCCTCAGTTTCCCTGGCTGTAATATAGGTAGAAGCATGTCCTAGGGTTGGCCTGAGGATTCAGTGAGGTGGGAGGCATGAAGCATTTCAGACTGTGTGCCTGGCACAGAAGGGTGCTGTGTACATGCTGTCTTGTTGTGGTTCTTATCTTATTATGTGGCAGGAAGTGAGGAGTCCAGACAGACAGGTGACCTCCGTTACCATCTCCCTACCACATACGTAATCAGGGACAGTTTGGACCTCCAGAGGACATTTGACAGTATCTGGAGACATTTCGGTTGTCACAATAGGGAGGAGGAGGTACTACTGGCATCTCATGGGTGGGGGCCCAGGTTGTTGCTGCATGTCCTTCAAAGTACAGGACAGCCCACAGCAAAGAATTATCTGGTCCCCAAAGTAAACAGGGCCAGAAGAAACTTTTCCCTAATATAAGCTTTCTTTTCTTTTTCCTTTTTTTTAAAACATTTTTTATTGATTTATAATCCTTTTACAATGTTGTGTCAAATTCCAGTGTAGAGCACAATTTTTCAGTTATACATGAACATATGTATATTCATTGTCACATTTTTTTTGTCTGTGAGCTACCATAAGATCTTGTGTATATTTCCCTGTGCTATACAGTATAATCTTGTTTATCTATTCTACAATTTTGAAATCCCGTCTATCCCTTCCCACCCCTTGCCCCCTTGGCAACTGCAAGTTTGTATTCTATGTCTGAGTCTATTTCTATTTTGTATTTATGCTTTGTTTGTTTGTTTGTTTTTAGATTCCACATATGAGCAATCTCATATGGTATTTTCCTTTCTCTTTCTGGCTTACTTCACTTAGAATGACATTCTCCAGGAGCATCCATGTTGCTGCAAATGATGTGATGTTGTCAGTTTTTATGGCTGAATAGTATTCCATTGGATAAATATACCACAGCTTCTTTATCCAGTCATCTGTTGCTGGACATTTAGGCTGTTTCCATGTCTTGGCTGTTGTAAATAGTGCTGCTGTGAACATTGGGGTGCAGGTGTCATTTTGAAGTAGGGTTCCTTCTGGATACATGCCCAGGAGCGGAATTCCTGGGTTTCTTTTTTTTTTTTTTTTAATGGAGGTGCTGGGGATGGAACCCAAGACCTCGTGCCTGCTGAACATGCACTGTACCACTGAGCTACACCCACCCACCCCCTCCGCCACTGTAAGCTTCCTGGTGGCACCGCAGGCCCCTCTCTCCTCTGTAGCACTTGCCTTGGTTGTAATTTTGCATTGATAGGTAAGACTATTTGATGGCTACTCATTCCACTGATATAGTACAAGCTTCTGAGGGTGAGGCAAGATTTGTTTCGCACTCCAGGCCAGTGCTGCCTGTTCAGCCCACCCCAGACCTCAGTCACAGGCAGCACTGGTGCCTGGGCCTGTCTGACCCGGGTTCAAGTCCAATTTTGCCACTTCTCGGTTATATGACCTTGGGCCCATGGCACTGCCTTTCCGAACTTCCATTCCTTCATCTACAAATGGGATTGTAAATATCTGATAACTTAGAGTAGAAGGTAAGACTGCCGGCTCTGGAATTGAAGACATGCCTGAGTTCAAGTCACAGCTGTGCTGCTTACTCTGGAAATGGAGTTACCTATAAGCCTCGGTTTCCCCACCTCTGAAATGGGTCTGATAATCCCCTTCCTTTCAGAAGGTTAATATGAGATTTAAAGGAACTGATAATGATTACTTTTTTTATTATTTAATTCATCATCCAATGAATGGGGTTTTTTGTGCCTTAGGTGTGTTCAAGACCCCATGGGATACCGTGGGGGACACAACAGGGTGGAGCATCTTCAATTGCTAAGCTCGTCATCTCGTGACTTGGGAGAGGTCTGGCCTGGTGCTTCTTCCAGTGTTGACCTCTGACCTCCCCTCCTTTCAGATCTGTGCCATCATTGGCGGGACCTTCACCGTCGCCGGCATTCTGGACTCGTGTATCTTCACAGCCTCGGAGGCCTGGAAGAAGATCCAGCTGGGCAAGATGCATTGACGACCTGCCCGGCCTGCTGGCCGAGGACCCAGGGAGACCACCAGCCCTGCCTCCAGTGCCCTGTCTCCTCCTGCCCTCTGTCTGGCCTGGGATCTGACTGTGTCCGAAATTGGGGGTGAGGGGAGGGAGGGGGCGGCTCACAGGTTCGCAGCTACCTCTTTTCCCCATGTTTAATTTGAGATGAATTACACTGCCTGATGTCGTGGTGCCCCTTTCTTTCCCTGAGGAGCCCCAAGACCAAGTCAGGCAAGGAAGGCTTGGGGGTGTTGGGAACCACTCCTGGTAGAACTACAGTCCGGTCCCTCCTAGGGGAGCAGCCCAGCATCCACGTCGACCAGCTCTCAGCCAGGCTTTGACAATCTCGCAGCCCCCACCGTTTGGACGCACTAATCACTTGGTTTCTCCCCTGGGCAGCCAACCCGCAGACCTGGGCTTTGGACCAGACTGCCCAAAGGTACTTCCCACCAGGAGCCTTCATCAGAGAATGGTACCTCCCAGGCAAGCCCCTGAGATGTGGCGCTGGAGCTGGAGCCCTCGCTTCTGCCCGACCCACAGCCCAGGCCTCCCTCCCCACCCCTTTCTTTTTCTCCCCAGAAGCAGATGCCCAGTTGTTGGCAGCAGCTGTGTAGACTCAAGTCTGCCCACTGGATTTCCCCTTCCTCTCTTCATCTCATTCCTCTGAACCCCCCGCCAATGTGCCTCAGCCCCCATGCCGCGTGGCAACAGCGTTGCTTGGTGGAGGGGCCGGCTGTGACTGGGAAGTCATCCTTTTCTGCGATCCCAAAATAATCATGTCTCAGCCTCTCCCAGACGGCTGCCATCGGCCCCAAGGCCTTAGGTGGGGGAAGCAAAGCAGACCAGCCCTTCTCCCCTCTTGGGACGTCCACCTGTGCTCCCCAGGGTGCACAGCGCTCGGACCTCTCGGCAGCCCAGTTGTGGTCCGCTTGGCCCCCTGAACCCCCCCGTTGGCTGGCCACACACCAACTCATTCCTGGTCCCTGGGGCAGCTCCGCTGTCTCCCCACTTGCTCTTGCGTGGATCCCTACCCTACTGCTCCCCCTCATCCTTCCCCTTTAGGCTTGAAAGGGAGGGGCAGTGGTCCTGCAGGAATTCTACCCAGGGAATTTTAGGTATGCCCTCCCATCCCAGGGACAGAGGCGCCCACCTGTTTCCCATTTATATCAAGATTGTTTGCATACTTTTGTAATTAAGGGGAGTGTCCAGTGGAAGGCATTTTTTATCTATATGGATGGCTCAAGTCTCAGCCATTTGTAATTTTTGGCTCCAAATTCCAAGTAGAAAAGCTTCCCCTTTTGCATATGAGTTGACTGATGTGAGTGTAAACTGCATTTGGTTATTTCTGGTATTTGTGGCCACTCAGACGGGTTGTTTTTTGCATTCTGCTCCGCAGTTACAGAAAGGAGTCCCTTGGGTGTGTGAATACGTGTGCCTGTTGGGGGTGGGCAGGGCAGGTTGGGGAAATGTGTGGCATGCACATGATTTGAAATTCTGCTTTTGTGCATTTAAAAGAAAAAAAAAACTGGAGGACATAGGGGATGTCAGTTTCCTATGGAAGAGACACCTCTGACCCATTGTTCTTATAAACAAAATCTCAAGGGGGAAAAAATGTTTCTGTTCTTTCCCCACTCGTTGGATTCAACTAGATTAAAAAGCTAATTTTCAGAAATATTGCTGTGTGCTGCTGTCCAGTTGATTGAGGCTGGAGGCTGGGATCACAGTCAGAATGGAATTTCCTTCTAGAGGAGAGAAACTGGGAGATGTGGAAAGGTCTGTGGGGATGACCAGAAAGTCAGGACCCCTTAGATTCAGTCCTTCCTTTATTGAATCCCTACAGAATGTTCCCTGATCTGCTACTTGGCAGTCGTGTGGCCTCAGGCCAGGTCCTTAACCTCACGGGGCTGTTGCAGAAATTAATCTATAATATATTGAAGTAAATTACACGGGATCATAGCAAGCTCATGTATGCAGCAGAGTGATACCTGGTAAGTTTTCAAAAATGGTAGTTGTGCTCTAAAGGTGTTCCCAGAATAAAAGATCAGCATCAGCTCTGAGAAAGGGGCTTCAGTGGGTATTTGCTAACCTGCTGCCCAGTCCTTCAAGGCCCTCACCGGAACAGCACGGGCGTGGATGAACACATGAGGGATAAACGTGAGAGCGAACCAGTCTGCAAGAGTCTTCATTGACCCTCCCCTTTCTCTCTCTCCTTTTTAAAAATATTTTATTAAAAGTTTCGGGTATATGGTATTAGTTCAGCATCTGTATACACTGTACACACATCTGTTTCTCTGGGGGGAGGTAATTAGGTTTACTTACTTTTTTTTCTTTTAATGGAGGTACTAGGGATTGAACCCAGGACCTCCTGCATGCTAAGCATGAGCTCTACCACTGAGCTGTACCCTCCCCTCCCTGATCTCGCTTTCACATCCTGTGTGATACTGGAGTTACACTGTGACACTCAGAGGTCACGGTCAAGAGCACATGCCTGCTGGTCATCAGTTACGTGTGTTAGGGCCAGCTGTGTTAACACTGTAGTGATGTGACTCACTTAACGCATGAAATACGGTTGAAAAATGAAAGAATCTAGCAAAACTGAGTTGAATACTTCGGAGAGACCTAATAAAGGGGAGTTACCATCCCTCCTCAAAATGCTACCGAATTCAATCAACTGAAAAGAGTTGAGGGCGGGAAAGTCCTGGACGATTCTACGTTCACCCTGAAAGCATGTTAAACTCTCACTCCATTCTAAAGAAACCAAAACCTGGAACCTGGGGTTGGCTTATGGAAGGACATGGTTTACACAGGGAAGATGAAGGAGAACTCCAGCGTTCTCAATGAGAAAGTTTTCTCAATGAAAAAGCTTTGCTTCAGGGTCAAAAGATCGGCCAATGTGTTTTGAGTTGAAGGAAAACCTTTAAGTCATGTATGTGTCATTTTTATGATTTCTCCCTTGGAACAGTTTTTTCAGTTACCTAACCACGTGTGGAGTATAGTGCGCGTATATGTAAGGACCTTGGTGGTTCAGGCAGAGATGGCTTCTCCTGGGGAGGTGTTGCCCCTGCAGAGGAGGTGAAGTTGGAGAGGGGCTTCAGTGAGAAGAGACCCTCAGTGCCAAGCCCACGCTGCCTGGGGTGGGCAGGGGGGCTGTGAAGCTTGGGAAGAGGTGGGGTGTAGCCATGGGGCTGACAAAAGGCAGCTGTATAGTTAGCTTTTATGACTAAATATCTCAAGCTCGGTTTTGGTTCTTGTCTGAAACAAAGATACACATTTTCTCAATGTGGCAGGTCACTCGTGGTCCTAATCCCTTCTTAAGCTGGTTCATTAGCTGCTCCAGCAGACAGGCTGAGGTCCAGGAGTGCCAGGGGGGACAGTGTGGAGAACATTCACCCAACACCCTCCTCCTCACCCCCAGCAGTTGTCCTCTGTCAGTTATGTGGTGATGAGGCCGTGTACTTTATTCTGACCCAAAGAAATTATTTTTATCTCAACTCGTGTAGTAATAGCTACAAATGACTGGGCCTTCTCCATGTTCAGGCCTCGTGTTTCTCAATCCTCACAGTAATCCTACAAGGTGGCTGTTCCCTCCTTTTTAGGAAGCAGAAAACAGAGATGTAGAAACTTATCTCAGTCACACAGCTACCAGGTGGTGATGCCGGAATTCAAACCCACGTCAGCCTGACTCCAGTGTCAGGTTCTACCTTCCTGCCCACAATCATCTGTGTCAAAAGGGTGAACTGACCACCCACCACCCCCGCCAAAAAAACGAGGATTTAAAGTAGTGAGGGTACTTTTTTGTTTTCTGTTTTCTTCCTCATAAAACAGCCTGCAGAGGAAAGCTGAGTTGAACACTGGGGCTCTTTAACCATTACAACACAGTTTTAGTTACACAAATAATACATGTTCATAGCCCCATTGGAGGAAAAGCACAAAAGAGCAAAAAGGAAATAAAGGGAAATTAAACTTACCCATAATCCCACTAATCGGGGATAATCACTTAATATCTTAGTGACGGGTTTCCATGAACAAAGTGGATCGTGCTCTTAACATTATTTTGTAGTTTACTTTTTCGCTCACGTAATAAATAGACACCTTTCCATGTTAATAACTGGATCTTCTCATCTTTATTGCCAACAATAACCATATTGAGTATCTACTGGCAGATCAGCCTCTGCTCCCATCTCATTCAGAACCTGTTTTCTCACCTGTAAAAGGGACAATTTCAAGGGTTGTTTACCAGATTAAATAAGGTGATGTTTGTAAAGCTGTTAGCACAATGCCCGACAGTGAATGCTCAGCCTAATATGACCAGCTGTGATTATTCATCCCTTTAATACATAATAATTTCTACCATTAATTAAGTGCTGACTTTGTGCCAGTCACTGTGCTAGGGGTTCACTGAATCCTGACACCAAACTTATAAGGTAAGTACTCATTATTCCCATTTCACAGATGAGGAAAATGAGTGACCAAGAGACTAAATATCCAAAGCTACAGAGCCAGGAAACGATGGAGCTCCAACCCAGGCAGTCAGAATCCAGAGCTCTTCCCCACCGCATCACCTTCTGCCTTGGAGACATAAAAATATTCCCCGGGCATTTCCTCTGTGCCAGGCACTGTTCTAGGTCCCGGGACTTCTACACCAGTCCCTATGCATGTTTCCAAGGGAGGTACAAGGCAGGATAGTAGCCAATCCCATTAAGTCCTTATTAGAATAACGGAACCTCAGGCTTTTGTCCTCTTATCTGGTGATGTCATTGTACCGGTCTTAATTTTGTTGAGCCACCACAGGGGGCAGGTAAAGAAATGCTTCCCCGCCCTGATTAATAGTGAATGCCTCTTGATTGCCTTGGGAAATGAGATGCCCTCACATGGTTGCCCTTCACCAGTGAGGCCCTGCGCTCCTTGGGAGCAGGGACCAGACTTCACTCCTCCCCCATCTCTCTGATCTAGCCCTGCACCTGTGGCTCCATTTAGGTACCAAATATACGATGAAAAAGTTAATGAGCAAATGGATGAATGTGTGAGTAAATGAGCAGCTGACTGACGATGAATGAGTGTGGTAGGGAAGTAATGAATGAACAGAGAAGAAGCCAGTGGGTAAGTGAATGAATGAATACATGAACGCGTTTATCAAAGGGCTTGGGCCTGATCAACACCGTAAGGGCTGCTCTGAGAACTCTATGACTGCCTGTGGGCACTCAGTCATAACAGCGTTTCATTCCCAGGGGCCGCGCGCAAAGGAAGTCTCGGCCTGACGAGCTCTCGGGTGGTGCCCGGGACTCTGGGCTGTCTTCCCGGGGGCGGGAGGCGGAGCTCGGGCACGACCTGGCGGGACGGAGCGGGGAAAACAGGAGCCAAAGGTGGGCAGGGCATGGCGGGATGGGCGGGGCCGAGCTGAGTGGGGCGGGGCAGTGGCCGCAAACCCGCAGATGAGCTCGGAGGGTCCCAGGCTGCACTAGCTGCGCTAGAAGACTCTCGCTGAGTTTAAAAAAAAGAGGAGTGGGAAGAGCACGACCCCGAGCTTCCGTCAGCGTGGCGCATTGCACATGTTTACACCAAACACGGAAAGCTTACATTTTGCGTCATCAGAAGTTAATGGCAGAAGTCTCATCGTGAGGACCCTGGTGAGGCCTCGCCTTAGGACTGTCCTGGAGCAAGCCCCACGTAGAGACCTCTGCTTTCATGAGGAATATCAGCCGGCTGTAATTGAGCGCTATGCCCAGACATTATTCTAAACACATTAAACGGATTAACTCATTTAGTCCTCATAACTATTCTAGGAGCCATCTACTAAGATCATCCCCATTTCACAGATAAGGAAATCGGCTCAGAAACATGGAGAAGTCTTCCCAAGGTCCAGCAACATGAAGAGGCACTTGGGTCCAAATCCCACTCGCCAACCTCAGCTCTTCCGAAAAGGGCTAAATAAAAAAAAAATGAGGGGAAGTTTTTCAAAGCCAGGTAGATTTGCAATTACCCTCAAACATTGGTGTGCTTCAAAATCTTTGGTGAGGGGAAGAGCTTGCTTTAAATTCTGACTCCCTGACTCTGACTGTCTAGTTTGGTAAGACTGTGGTGGAACACAAGAATCTGCATTTTAAACAGGCTTCCCGGTGACTCTGAAGCAGCAAATCAGCTATTGCATTTAGACCATCGTGACGTTAAATCACCCCGGCCATATGCCTAGACGACCTCTGCGGAGAGTAACAGGGCCAAAGAGTTTTGGGTAGGAGAGAGACTATTGCTAATGTACCTATTAAAAGAGCACCAGCAAGCCTTTATGCCAGGCCCTACAAAAGTGCCGCTTCTCCCCAGCGGCGACAGCTCACTCGGGCTACGGGCTAGAACCGCGGAGCCGCCTAGAGATCCCATGGCCCCTTGAAACAAGGCACTGCGATCCCACCGACCCACAGGGGGCGCTATTCAGTTTCGGTCCAACGGGAATGGAACGTTGCTTTCTTTCTGCGCTTGCGCAGCAAGGAAGCCTCACTTCCGGCCCTGCGCGCGCATGGCCTGAACTCTGCCGCTGCTTGGTGGGTGAGTAGAGGCTCGGGTGTTCTCCGACAGTGAAGCCCTGCGCTGCATAGGCCCCTTCCCCACGTGCCGGGGGGCTGCCTGCCTCCCCAGAAGTCTCTGTGCCTAATCCCCCGCCCGAATGACCTTTTTTTGCACGGGTCGTTCTTCAGCCCGCGCCCTCCTCCCTTCTGTCGGCCTCAAGTCCTAGTGCCGCCCTCGCCCCACATCCCTCTAGTCAGACACGCACCTCCACGTACGTCTTACCCGGTCTAACTCCCAGATCCCTCACAGCCTTCATTCTCCTCCCTAGAGCGCTTGCGCGGTGATGGGGCGCGGTGTCCCGCATGGAGAGCGGGTCCTGGTACCCCGCTGAGCGCTCCTTCGCTCCCTCTCGCCTCTGTTTGCAGACGGGCACCATGAAGTTCAAACCCCTTGTGACCTCGGACCGCAGCAAAAACCGCAAACGTCACTTCAGTGCCCCGTCCCACGTGCGCAGGAAGATCAAGTCGTCGCCACTCTCCAAGGAGCTGCGGCAGAAGTTCAACGTCCGCTCCATGCCCATCCGCAAGGACGACGAGGTCCAGGTACGTGTCCCCCGGGCTCTAGTTACCCAGCAGCTTGGCGCTGGGTCGCCGCCTTTGCTTGAGTGTGCTTGGACGTGGGGGAGTCTTACATTTACGTGCCTTCGGGACCCTGGCAAGTAATGCTACCCTGCAGATGTGTCAGACCGGTAGTTGGGCCCAGGAGCCACTAGAGAGCGCCTGCCCAGCTGAATTAAGAGCATTCCCATTCAGTTCTAATTTGAAAAAATATGTTATGCCAACCAGGCAAATTTCCCCTTTTTTATTTAGTCCAGAATCTGCTAGTTAGCATTGCCCAGGATGGCTCTTTAAACCAAATTTACAGGGGAAAATATTGCGATAAGAGTAACGTTTTGGTATCATTTGGCTTAGTGGAAGCTGGGCATTTGATGGTACTGGATTTGGCAAGAAGAATGGAGAAACAGCAGCAAGTCAGAGGCGTGACATTGTGAGAGTATAACCCATGTGAGAAAGTCTGAGCCCTCTGTTCTCTGTGAGTGGCGCTTAGGGTTAGAAAGTGTGGTAGGGAAGTGGGGGCGAGTAAAACAGACTGGAAGCTAGGTTCATTCCTTGAAGGAATATTTATTTATTGAGCACTTGCCAGGCACTGTTCCCTGGAAGACCAGCAGTGAACAGGACCCACAAGGCCCCTGCTACCATAGAGCTCACATGTTAGAACCGGGTTTCCCAACCTCAGCGCTACTGACATCTTGGGCTGGATAATTCTTTATTGTGGGGGGCTCTCCCGTGCACTGTGGAAGGTTTAGCAGCATCCCCAGCCTCTCCCCACTGGATACCAGTAGCACCTCCTCACAGTCAGGACAAGCAGAAACATTTCCAGATACTGCTCAACGTCCCTGGGAAGCAAAAGCCACCCCTGCCAACCTCCCCCAGTTAAGAATATCATTTTAGAGAATGAAATAAGGATTTGGTGTATCATCTAAGGCATTGGAACCCTAAAGGTCTGAGGAGGAAACGATCAGAATCAGAGGATCAGTTAGGCTGAGAGTGTGACAGGAATAGAGTGGGAAGAATAGTCTGGAGGTATGATTCAACCTCGCCTCCCAGATCCTTCCCATCAGACACGTTCTAGAATGGAGGAATCGCACATGCCTGCAGGGGCTGGTTAGGCAGATTAAAGGAAGTGGGCTCTTTTAAAGGAAATAGTCGTCCACCCTCAGCCCTTTGCTGCCACAGGGAAATGCAGGCTCCTTGTCAGATTCTTCACTTTTGCAAAAGAACTGGAAATTTTTGGAATCTTTTCCCAGCCCCACATTTCCTTCCAGCTACTGCTCTCTACGTGGATGGCCAACCTCCTCAAGGTGAGGGCAGTTGCTCACCTCCCACTCACTCTTGGACACTCTCCAGTCTAATCTCTGTCTCAGCACTTTATAGAAACTGCTTTTGGCTGAGATCACCAGTAGCCTCTTGGTGACTAAATTCAGTGGGCACATCTTGGTCTCACCGTCCTTGACTTTTTCAGCAGCACTTTGCATATGTGTCACCACCTTCCTTCTTGAAATAGTCTCTCTGTTTAGGTTCACAGTTTACTTCTGACTCCTCAGACTCCCTTGCAAGCCGTTTCTCCTCTGTCTGGTCCCTGACTGCTGCAGTTGGTCGGGGCCGGCACCCGGTCTTCCATTGTCTTGCCTACATTGTCCACCTCGATGATAATATGTATTCCCAGAGCTTTAAATGTCTGCCCTGTGCTAACACCTCCCTGTTGTATATTCCGGTCCAAACCATCTTTCTGACCTCGGCCCTGTAGCTCTAACTGCCTGCTGAACATCTTTATTTGGCTGTCTCACGGACATCTCAAGCTTCTCATGCAAGGGTCCTCTTGATCCTGACACTCTCACTGCCTCTAAAATCTGATTCTCCTCCCATCTCTCCCACCTCAGTAAGTGACACTTCTATCTCCCCACTTGCGCATGCTATCAACCTTTAAATTATTATTAACAACTTCCCCTAACCCTTCTTTTCTAATCTGTCACTAACTCTTATTGATTCTACCTCCAAAATAAGTCTTGACTCTGACCACTTTTTTATATTTCCATTTTCATTTACAGCATCTCCAGCTTCCCCTCTTACCCTAGTCCATCCTCCACAGAGTGGCATTATTTGCAAATCAGATCCTATCGGTGGTGCCTGACGTGCTAATTATAAAATCTAAATCATTGACAAGGCCCCATGTGATCCAGTTCTGGTCTAATTCCCTGACCTCTTCTCATCTCACTGTCCCCCACATGCTCTGTACTTCCAACACACTGGCCTTTCGGGTCCTTAAATGCACCCTCTGGGTCTTTGTCCAGGGTGCTCCCTCTGCCTGGAGTGCTCTTCTCCTCTTTACCTGGCTAACTCCTCATTTTTGAGGTCTTATCTTAAATGTTGGCTCCTCAGAAAAGCGTTCCCAGATAGTTAAGCTATGTTTTAGCATAGCATCGTTTATTTTTCTTTCATAGCAAGGAACACAATTTGATATCTCTTCTTTTTTTTTCAACCGAGGCATAATTTATGTACAGTAGAATGCACAGGTGAGTTTTGCCAGATATAAAACCACGTAGTCAACACCCTGATACGACGTAGACCCGTTTTTAATCACCATCTGCCCTCTCCCAGTTAGTGCTCATATATTTGCCTGTTTACCTATTAACTACTTGCTACCCATCAAACTGAGGTCCAGGAGGCCAGAGAACTTCTTTTGTTGCCAGACCTCAGTGCAGAGCCTGAGGGCACACAACGAGGGCACAGTCAATACTGAATGAATGAAAATCTATGGATTAGATGGAACTGGACGGTGAGCTAAAGAAAAAGAGGGCAGGGAGACGGAGCTGCCATTTTTGAGGGCGGAATATGAACTGTTCTCTTTAGATATGAAGAAAATGAAACTTAGTTTAAGTCATAAAGAAATAGTATAGAAAATGAGCGCCTGAGCTGGGAATTCAGGTCTCTAACTCCAAAAGCCATACTGGGTAAGCACTTGTCCGCCAGGAGAATAAAACAGTCACAATTAGGTTTGTTAAAACTGCCTTTTCTCTCTTGGGAGCTTCTGAATCTCCCCTACTGCTTTTTCTGAGCGGTTGACTATTCCCCCTGCTTGATAGAGGAAACGAAACCCATCGTCCAGGAACTTCCAGAGCTCCTGTTCCAGCCCTCTGGTTTACCTGAGTTCCACCCTCCTGCCTTCGTCCTCTCCTGTTACAGAGGAAGTGAAATCCCTGTTTCTATCTAAAGGTATCCCTCTGCCCTGGTATGTGACACCCACCACTCTTCTCCCCTCCTGAGATCCTTCTGTCCATTAGCCCCTTTCTCTGCAGTTTACCTCTTCCTCCAAACTTGTTCCTTCTCACCAGCATTTAAGCACATTCATGTTTCCTCCTCTTTAAAAATTAAAAAAAAAAGTCCCTTAACTAACATCTCCCTTGAGCACATGTCCTCTCTCTCATCCTCTTCAGACCCGAGATGCTTGGGTCTCTTTTTTCACCTTCGCCTTCTCACCTCTGGTGAACTCATCGCCTAGTGGAAACGGCTTCCATCCCACTGCTCCACCAAAAGCACTCTGGCCATGACCACCAGCGACCAGCTTGTCACATCTGTTACTTTACCCCTCCAGTAGTTGACCATTCACGACATTTGACCTTCTCTTGGCTCCTGTAACACCACACTCCTCTGGTTTCCCATTTTCTCTGGCTGCTTCAGTCTCTTTGGCAAGCTCTTCCAAAATGTTGACTTTTTTTTTTTCTTCCATATTTCTACATTCTGCTCTCTTCTCTCACCACCAGCTCCCTAAGTGAAATCAGGCTTTGAATTGCCATCTCTGGGGAAGGCATATCCATCCATCCAGGTGCCCAGCCAGACTCTGGATGTCATCCTTGCCTCTCCTCCCTCACCTTTCCAGTCCAGCCCACTTAGTCTCAGCCCGTCTCCTTCCTTGCTAGTCTGTCCACTGCTCTATCACGGGTGTTCCTTTGACTTGTTTTATTAACAGCTTTCTTCAGTCTTGATGATTGTTATAGGGGCTTTTTCAGAGAATTTTTTCCACGTGAGAATCTCTGTTCATGTGGACTGTGGTGGATTTTCACTGAAGCGTGCTTGGCTGTTGTCTTTTCAGCCTGAACATCGCCTTGGTGAGTAAGCTGAACAACCTAGGTAGACATTCTAGCTGTATTGAGATTTTCCAGTTCTTTCTATGTGATATTTTCTCTCTGTGTATTGGTTAACATCATTTATATTATGGCTGCTGTTTAATGGGCTCTTGCCTTTAGGGAAACCACAGTTGAGTTGGTTTTTGAATAGAACTGGAGTGTGAGCAGATTTTTAGTATGCAAAAATAGCCCACGAGATTGTAACTTAGCATTTTAATTTTTTTCTGATTATAAGATATTTGAATTAATTGTACAAATGTTGAAATTTGGAAGAATATACATTTTAAAATAGCCATCTGTAATTCTGCTTCCTGCCCAATGGCAACCATGATTGACATTTGGATTTATTTTCATTTCATTGTGTTCTATGCCATATATATGAAACATGCACACACAAGATTCAGGCTATATTCTATATGTAGCTTTGTAGTCTTTTTTTCTCAGGAGATCATATCTTGAGCATCTTCCTAGGTCATGGATTATTTCTTGAAACAGACTTTAGGTGGTTGCATGAGAATCTCAGTGTAATTTCTCTTACCATTCTTCTCTATTTAGATCTTGAGGGTAATTATATATATGCATTTTTTTTAATTGAACTATAATTGACATATAACATCGTGTTAGTTTTAGGTGTACAGTGATGATAACTTTCTTACTCTCAGGACTAGTCCTGTGATGACCATCCTAGTTCAAGGAATGTCTTGTATTTTCCCTTAGGGGGTTTGAGGACACTACCAAGGTCAGCAGATCGGCAAGGGAGTCCAGGTGTACAGAAAGAAACGTGTCATCTACATCGAGTGGGTGCAGCGTGAGAAGGCTAATGGCACGACTGTCCACGTGGGCATTCACCCAAGCCGGGACCGAGCAGTGGTACCAGCCAGGGAGCGTAACATTCCTGCTGGAGTTGTTGGGTGTCGGTACCGTCTGCACAGGTGGCCATCGTAAGGGCTTCCAGAAGGAGGTCAGGCAGACCTGTCTGTTTTGTCATCCTCGGTGAAGTCCCCATCTCCAAGCTGGTTGCAGGAGTGTTCCAGGCATTCCAGGCATCACTTCTTTACCAGGTGATGTCCAGGGGAGAAGAGAGAACACCTACCTCTTCCTGGGGCCCTCTCCCACCAGTGGAATACACTGTTCCTCCTCTGCACTCCCATTTTACACATGGTATTGCAGCATCTCTCTTCTGCAGAGTTTCAGATCCTTAAGGGCAGAATGGTTGGGCCTTACTCATCTTTATGATCTCTGTATTGCCAGTAGCCAGTTAGAATGCAGGTATTTTTGAAACAACGCATTTTGCCAGCCAAGGGGTGATAAACAAATCATCCACGTTGGTAGTATAATTTTTCACAACCTAAATGATAATTCATCACTGAACTGTCTAAATGGTGTCCTAGATCCTCGGGAGTTAGAAGGTAGGAGGTTGGGTAGCTGCTATTGTCAAGGGGAGATCTGCTGTATAAGATAATTATAGTTATAAGTCCTTTCCACTTAAAAAAAAAAATTAAGATGTTTGTTTTTTCATGCTAACAGGTGGTTATCACCAGGCTGAAACTGGACAAAGATCGGAAAAAAATCCTTGAACACAAAGCCAAATCTCGACAAGTTGGAAAAGAGAAAGGCAAATGTAAAGAACTGGCTGAGAAAATGCAGGAATGAAGTTAACCTGTGGTGCAGCCACGGTTTATCTGTAGGTTATTTGCCGGGTGTGTATTCCTTTGAAACTTTTCAAGATGTCTCTGGAACACTTCGTTTCCTTCCTGTTTTGTTACTGATGTGTGGCTCTGTAAATCTGCTTTTGCTGTTTCAATTAATAGTTTTATGAAGAAGACCTGGAAATGTTTTCTAGTCCTGAATGGTATTTATTGTTTTATAGATAAAATCCATCATACTTTCAGTTCCCCACTGCTAGTCTTTCGTGTGTTTCATCTACAGAAAAAAGAGGGTGATACTTGTACTGCCTTCCTGTCTCATGGGAAACACAGAAATGAAATGCCGGGATCAAATGGGCTATTTCTGAGCACACTTTGAAAGTGTGAGTGGATGCATTCTAACATTGCTGTTACTGTCCAGTTAACTTGTTTCCAATTCTGACATTCACTTTGCACTCAAAAAAGCAACGATTTTTTCCACAAAAGATTGGTAAGCTCACAAGCCACAGAACTCAACGTGCACATTCTGACTTTGTGACATTGACTTAAGAGTAGGCTCTGGTCTTTGGAGCCTCTGTTTCCCTGTTCTATGTAAGAAGCCGGGAACGCTTATCTGCAAGGCTGTGAAGATTAAAACAGCAGTCCACCAGACTCCTGAGATTTTAGGAGTCCCTTGGGTGCTTGCTAAGAGTCTCCGCCTCTTTGCCTGGAGATTCTGTGATGCAGCAGGTCTGAAGAGAGACCTCTTAAGGTCTCGTGTGCCTGTGTATTTTCCATACGGCCCTTGTATGATACTTATGACCAGGGAAATGTGGGAAATTGTCGATTAGGGTGTATGTATACGTACCCACAGCACATAAAACAGAGCGGGTGCCCACACACAGTAGCTGTGTTAGCATATTGAGCTGTTCTGTCTAGCGAGCGTAATAACTAGGTCGACCAGTAAGGGCTTAGTTTGTTTTTCTAATTTGAATTCTGTCTTCATTCTCATCCAGCACATGTTTTAGGACTCCAAATTTGTATAAAAGTCAGATTTCACACTAGATTAAGTTTACAGTAGGATGAGCTCTTTGGATGCCTGGTCTGGGCCCGAGGCTCCCGCTGTCACTGTCATCATTAAACTTAAATTACGAGATTTCTCCTAGGAGTCAGATTTGGTTTCTTTTCAGCAACTTGCTCAGTGCAAGTGATAGTTGAGAGCTGTAATCCTCCCAGATCACGCCAGACTGCTTCTCATCAGCCATGTGAACAGTGGGGCCTGATCAAAAGCAGGAACTTAGCATCAACTGAAAGCTCTAATCCCAGCTCAGTCAGCCAGCCCCTAGCTGTGTGACCCAGGGCAAACGGCGTAACCTCTCTGGGCCTCAGTTTTATCCTTTATGAAATGGAGATGAGAGGAGTGCCTGCCTCATTAGAGGTGCCAGACTTAGTCCTTGAGATTCCGCACATAAAGCATGGGGAGCTCAGCAGAAGCTTGTCTTTCAGAGATTGGCAGGGGGTCGCCCTAGGCACAGGGAAGAGGTTTTCTCCAGGGAGTTCGGACAAATGCCTGAACGAAGAAGGAGGGTTAAAGGCAGCAGTATTGTGTTTGGGCTGCTGTGGGAGACGGGGGACTGGAGAATGCCAGCTGGGTGGGCTGCTTATCAAGGTTCAGGCGTGGGGGTTCTAGCCTGTTTCCTGGAATGGGTCTGAATTAAGCAGTTTCCTACTGACCTTTTCATCAAATTTGCAGATGTCCACTTACTTGAGTGAGTCCCCTTGTGCTATTTTGGGAAGACTCCAAGCTTTTAAACTTCAGATAACTGCTTCTGAATGTCGGCTTTCAGAGCGCACTGGGGTTGAGATGTCCAGCGACAGAGCTTTCAGTGTGAGCTGGGTAGGCAAGTAAGTCTTGAACCTTCTGGGAACCAGGCAGAACTGTACTAACCAAGAGTTCTTTGAACTCTGCTGATGCTAAGACTATGAGCAATCTGGGGGTGGCTTGGGTCTGACTTCATTATTCTTTTAAATTAGGTTTTTGGTTTTGTTTTTTTTTAAGAAGTTATACTTCTGTGTAGTACACCAGAAGGTGGTACAAAAGGTATACAGTGAAAAGTACGTTTCCTTGTCACATTGACCCTCAGTCACTCAGTTCTCCCCAGAAGCAGTCGCTGTCCCCAGTCTTTTGTAGCCTTCCAGAAATATTCTATGCATATATGACTGGGTTTTTATTTAAAAGTTTCAGTGCTTGTTTCTGCAGCACATATGCTGAAATGGGAACAATACAGAGAAGATTATCATGGATGACACACAAATGAGCAAAGCGTTCCGTATTTTTAAATAGCATGTGGTATCACTTAGATGTGGAATCTAAAATATGATACACATGAACTTATTTACAAAATAGAAACAGACTCACGGACCCAGAAAACAGACTTACGGTTACCAAAGGGGAAAGGGTGGGGTAGGGACAAATCAGGAGTTAGGATTAACAGACACAAACTACTATATATAAAATAAACAACAAGGTCCTACTGTATGGCACAGGGAACTGTATTTAATATCCTGAATAAACCATAATGGAAAAGAATATTAAAAAGAATACATGTATGTATGACTGTATCACTTTGCTGTACATCGGAAACTAACACAACATTGTAAATCAACTATACTTCAATAAAAAATTAAAAATTAAAAAAAATTTAAACAATCCATGAAGAAGTCTTCGTGAGAACAGCAGGTTGTACAAATTTAAAGTCGTGTACGGCTGATTTATGGCCTGAACACCATAATTACAATATAAACACACACCAATAATAAATAAAGTATACTTTGTCCATCAGAAATAACTAAATGAACCACACGCTAGCCTCTCCCTAGTAGGAGGGCAGCGAATTCTGGAACAGGATTTCGAAGGTCTCAACTTGTGCATCAGAGGTCTCTACCTTGTCAAGTAGTATATAATTTAAGGTTTTGGGGTTGACTTACTATTTGAAATAGGAGAGGGAGCATGGCTTAGTGGGAAGAACAGGAGCAATGAAGACCTAGCTTCAAATCCCAGTTTTGTCTCTTAAAACAGCGAGACTTGGGGGGTCCGGTGGTGGTGAGTATTGCCCAGTGGCAGAGCACGTGCTTAGCACGCACGCGGTCCTGGGTTCAGTCCCCGGTACCTCCATTAACAACAAGAAACAGACTTTGGGCAAGTTACAAATCTGAGCCCCTCTTTGTAATATGTAAAATGGATTTAATAACATCTGTATTAGGTTTTGTCAGCATGGAATGAGACAGGAAAATTCAAAGCGCCTTGTTGAATGACTGGCACGTGGCCATCACCAGGAACTGGCAGCTGCCGTCATCGGTGGGGGCTGCCCACAATGCACGTTCCCTACATACGTGCTGAGCAAAGGAGCAGTGAAATATGCTGGTGTTTCAGCTTCTCCGCTAACTTCCAAACTTCCAGATCAACTTGGAAAGAAGCTTTATGACTCTGTGGCTCTGCGTGCCTATTTAGGGGTTCCTTGGGGCTTGCACAGTCGTGTTTTACTTCGCTCCCGTTTATCTTATCCTATTGAGGTTGCCTCCAAGGCTTTTCCTGCAATTTAAAAACTATTGCGGACCTGAAGAGCTTGTTAATGTGGGTTCTATCGATTGATATGATGTACTATATTACACATTAAAACAAAAATTAAACATTTATTTTAAATTCATTTTAAGCTAATAATAATGAATCCAAAACATGTTAACACAAATAACATTTTTATGCAAAATAACTATCTTTGCCGCAACAAAACAAAAAGAAATGCAGCCAAAAGAGTGACATTGTGTTACATTTTTGGAAAATTCCTTAATGTCTGGCTTAACAGAAGATAAAGAGATTCTTATAACGCTTCTGCGGTCCATCTGTTGCAATCTGTTGTTTTGAGTGAGGCACAGGGAAAAAATTCAGCCCCACAGAGACTGGTAGTTAGAAAAGAGATGACCTGGGATGGCTGCTCGGAGAGTCTCAGGGACTCCCCAAGGGTCCTTGGACCACGCTGCCCAAAGTCTGATTTATTGCCTGAAGTCAACTTTAAATGCCTTGAAGGCAGAGAATATTTCTTCATTCAGAGGGTCACTGAATCCTAGTGTTTGTTCACAGTTTTCATTTGAAACGTGTGATAAAACGTTTTTGACAGACTGACTGATAGAGGGAGCTATTGGCCAATACTAGCCCACAAATATAACGCTGAGATTAAAGATTTTTCTCATTTCACAGAGGATGAAACAGATTTAGACAGAACTGGTGTCTGAACAGCCACGTCCCTGTACTCCCTGACATCTGCTTCTCAGAGAGGCCGCCAAGAAGGCAAGGCAAAGGTTAGACTTACGAGGATCAACTTCAAAGAAAATACCTGCATTTATTTAAGAAAGGAGGAAAAATTTTACAAAAGCCAAAAAAGTGGAAGCAACCCAACTATCCAACAGCAGATGAATGGAGAAACAAAATGTGGTACAGACATACAATGGAATATTAGTCAGCCTCAAAAAGGATGGAAATTCTGATACATGCTACAACATGGATGAATCTTGAGGACATTGTGCTAAGTGAATTAAGCCAGTCACAAAAAGACAAATGTTCTGTCATTCCACTAATAACAGGTATCTAGAGTAATCCAACTTATAGAAAACAGAAAGTAGAATGGTGGTTGCCAGAGGCTGGAGGAGAGAATGGGGAGTTGTTTAGTGGGTATGAAAAAATTCTGAAGATTGGGTGCACAACAACGTGAACATACTTAACACTACTGGACTGTATACTTAAAAATGGTTAGGAAGAGCCATTTGCAGCAACATGGATGGACCTAGAGATTATCATACTAAGTGAAGTCAGTCAAAGACAAATATATGATATCACTTATACGTGGAATCTAAAAAAAAATGACACAAATGAACTTATTTACAAAACAGAAACAGACTCACAGACATAGAAAACAAATTTATCGGGGGTAGGGATAAATTGAGAGTTTGGGATTAGCAGATGCAAACTACTATATGCAGAATAGATAAAGAACAAGGTCCTACTGTACAGGGAATTATATTCAGTAACTTTTAATAACTTATAATGAAAAAGAATATATACATATATGTATAACTGAATCACTACGTTGTGCACCAGAAACTAGCACAACATTGTAAATCAACTATACTTCAATAAAAAATTAAAAAACAAATAAAGAAGAAATGATTAAGAAGGTAAATTTTAGGTTATTTTTATGTTCTAATTTTACCA